GGGGGGGGGGGGGGGGCGTCACCACGGCGAATCGATATGATTGATTGATCAGAATTTATGATTTCTCGCCGATTTTGGCAGTTCATTAGTCTCGGATATTTTAATGCCTGAGTGTTTTATTCGAGGCCAAAAAATTATTCCAAGCTGCAGTTGGCCTCAGAGTGTCCCGAGGGAGGTGTGACTGCAAGGCCGAATTGGAAAAGCGCCTGTTGCGGCGTCTTTTCATTCGACTGCTGGACTATCCGCTCGCTCGGACCGTCGAAGAATGGCTTCTATCCAAGTTTCTGTTCGCTTTATGGTAGCCTGGAGCCCTCAGGTTTCCTCAGCACTTCAGGCTGGAGCTACCGTTTCCCTATGGAAACGATATTTTCATGAAAACTCATGTTTCCCTCTCTCTCCCCCCCTCTCGAGAGTCGTCGCGTCGCATCATTTGAAAACGGTGAAAGGTCAGCGCGCGTCAAACAGCTCAAACGATAAAGACTACTTCCTCTCGTATTCTCCTCCTGGGCTTCTCAGCCTCCTCGACTCCTGCCGCCCTGTACCAGAATCACCACCAGCAGCACCACTAAGCCGTTTATCTCTTCCGCTATTAAATCCTCCAGTCCCCAAAGTTCGCGGAAGGAAGCGATCCGCCGTAACTCGGCTCTCCATCCGAGACTGGGTCGACGCGCTCTCGCTAATGGCTCTTATTTTCTCCCTTTTTTTTCAGAGGCCCCCATCCGCTCGGACTTGGTCGAGCAGCTGCCTCATGTCGCAATGATTTGCCAGGAAGCACCGAACCTCTTCGGCGACGTGCTCACCAGACATCTTCTGGGGATCGTCGTTAAATACCTCAGCGACCCCGACAACCAGGTAAAACTCACTAGGGATCCTGAAGGGATCGCTTCGAAACGCCCGCTTAAGCTCCCGTTCCGGGACTCAACTGGCTGGATACCCATCCAGCAGCAGCGGCAGCAGGAGCAGCAGGAGCAGGTTCCCTCGACTCTGGCAAGGCGACCACCTATGAGCTCATCGGCATGTTTCTTGTTGAAGGTTCGACAAACGGCCCAGGCGTCTCTTCTGGTTCTGATGGAACGCGGACTTCTTGATAAGGATTACATCGAGTACGTGGTCTGCCCCGTGGTCCTGAACCTCACGCTCACGCCGGAGGATTTCCTCACATCGAACATCGCTGTAAGTACAGTCTCTAACGTTTAACGTTTTATTATCTTGCCTCTCTTATCTATTCATTTACTTATTCTCTTTTAAAATACGATTAGTGACTGGCGAGATTGGTAGCTCTTGGGATCGTCGTCGAGATAATTAGGAGATTCCCGAGAGATGAGATCCCTCGTGGTAATGAACTAGTGATTTATCTGCGATTTGACGTTCCTGATCGAAAGGAGAGAGAGAGAGAGAGAGAGAGAGAGAGAGAGAGAGAGAGAGAGAGAGAGAGCAGCATACACCCGCTGCTGTGTGTCTCTGTCCTGTCTGTGTGTGTTTGTATAGGTGCGCACGAGAAAGAAAGAGAGAAAGAGCGTGCGCGTGGCTTGTCTGGTGTGTGCGTGTGTGTGTGTGTGTGAGAGAGAGAGAGAGAGAGATGCTGGGGTGAATTCTGCGTGAAAGACATGGGTAGTGAGATGTCCTCGCGCACCTGCGTCTCACTACCTTGTCTTTCATGCGGCGTTCGCTGAAGTCAACATTTTTTTTGTCCTTCTATCGTTCCCCGAGCAATGGTCTCCGCTACGCAATCGCCAATACTGCGGAAAAAGGAGGAACGTGCTGTGTCCGCGACTTTTGTCAGATTGAGTGATGCGCAGGAAGAAAGAGAGTGAAGGATTTGTTGCTCTGTGCTCGCGAGATTCAAGAGGCACAGGTGCACGTGCTGCGGTCAGGCGAGGCAGAGTCGGCCTTAGTGATAAGAATTGAACGTGGGCTAGGGGTCAGACGAGTAGGAATAGAGAGGATAATAGTGAGAGATGGAGGGATAGGAATCGGTTCAGGATTAGAAGTAGGAATAATAAATGATAAATGAGGAAGTATGTAAATCCTCTCCGAATGGGGCGCTGGGGCATGCTTTTACCATCAAAGTTGGTTTGTCATAGAGATCGACTATCACAGCCAGCTTTGATGAGCAAAATTGTGTCCAAATCTCACCGAGCTATCTCGTCAGCGGGAGGATATCCGCCAAAAACTTTTGTGGTCCGATACATCAAATTGGTTGTGGAATGTTTTGAGTCATATCACAGCCACTTTGATGAGCTTGGCCCACAAAATCGATCTGCAATCTTGCCAAGAACGTGTCGGCGATCCTCGAGGAGCCGCACGAGGATCCTTTGCACGTCCTTCGGAGACGCGTCCAATGACACGTACAGGGCGCATGACGTATCCTCACGAGAGTCCTCGACCATACGGAACCCCAAAGCACTCCTCTCTTCGCGTCCTGCGTCCTGCGTCCTGCGTCCTGCGTCCTGCGTCCTGCGTCCAGAACGGCCGAATCCGGAATGACGTCGCGATCCACCCGGGAGCACAAAGCCCCAATCGTTCGCTCTTGGCGACGGAGACCTTCCGATTAAATACTTTGAGAGAAGCTCATTCCCTGACATGTCTAATTCAAAATCGAAACTGTTTTACAGATGAAGTAGGCGGCAGCTGCCACTTCCGTCGCACGCGAGAAACGCGATCCAATCGTCAAATTGGTTGTGGCGTGTTGTAATCAATTCATATCACAGCCATTTTTGACGAGTTGGATCGCCGTTTCCATCATCATCCGATTTACCAAATCCTCACCGACCCAGGTCACTCTTTAGACCCATTTCTTTCCGCTCCCCTTCCTCTGTCCGTTCGTCCTTTTGGATCGTGGAAAAAGGATCCGAGCTGTGTGGGAGGAGAAGAGTCGGTGTGCGCGCTGCTCACAAAGTGGCTGTTGTATGCAGATTTTCGAGTCATATCACAGCCAGCTTTGATGAGCGACGCGACATCCCAGCATCAACGGATGCCGATTCGGATTCAGATGATTCAGCGACCGTTGCCCAGGCATTTGCGAGCCAGACTCTCGCGTTCCTTCGATTGGGTCCCCGGACACGGTAAGGAGCTCCTCTTCGGCAGCCTCTCCTTCGGCAAATGACGGAGCCAGTTCACTTTAGTCAAGTTCGGTTCGTTGGGACTTGGATCGCAAGGCTGTTGCGTCGTCGCCGGCTCATACGTCCCCATACGTCCCCATACGTCCCTGTACACATCCGCGTGCATCCTGCATTCTGTAACGCAGAATCCAGACTAAGGATCGTAGAGGAAGCCGGTGCTCTAGGTATACGCGGAACGATAGCCACTGCCGTCTTTCTAGGAAGCAGTCGTGAACTTATTCGTTATCGGCTATTTTGCCAGATAAGGCTGCGCGTGGCTCGGCCAGTTGGTCGGCCAAACGACTCGCGCTCTTCGTCAGCGTTCAGACTTTTCGCTCGACTTTTTACTTGAGGGTTCGATCGGCCGAACCCACTTTTACCGGTTTCCTCTCCTTCTCTCCGATTGAAATAATAATTTGTCTTTCAGGAGGAAACAAGATCGATTGTTCCACCCGTCAGAGTGGTTGTGATGTGGTGCCTTCGATGCATATCACAGCCAGCTTTGATGAGCGGAACGGTGCGGTACCGATTCTCAAGGAAGCAGATCCCTAGTTCCAAGTGCCATCCTCTTCCGTTTCTTCCGTTTCTTCTTCTCTCTCTCGATCCTATTCGTCTTCTACTCGTCCTACTTTCTCCATCAGTCTCCAAATCGATTAACCAATCGCCAATGCCCTGCACGTTTCGCGCGCTCTGCTCTGCGAATTGAACTCCATCTGAAGAGTTCCGATTCCGAGAATGAGTGCGACATGTTGAGAGAGGTCAGTGGGAATGAAGTGGGAAGCGGAATGATTCAAGAGGGAAATCGGAATGGAATAGATGTACGTAAAGTGCGAATGCGAGTGAAAGAGTGCGTGAGAGAGAGAGAGAGAGAGAGAGAGAGAGAGAGAGAGAGAGAGAGAACAAGTCTAAATGGAGAAGAGTAGGGTAGGGCGTGATATGGTGGGTGGTGATGGTGGCGGCGGTGGGTCAGTTTGCGACGTTACGTGTATTGGAAAGACGCGCGAGACTGACCCCTAAAGACGCGTGTCAGTTCGACACGAGCAGCTTGAAGTTGCGCAAAGCTTCAAGTTCGCTCGGAGATGAAGCTGGATAAAAGATTGAAGAGTGTTGACGCGTTAACGTTGAGTCTGAATTTCATGTCGGTCTGCAGCTCATGAGCAAGATGGTGCCGCTCGTCGGAAGGGAGATCACCGAGAAACTCTTTCTCGACAGATTCGTGACGCTCTGCTCTGACAACGCCTTCTTCGTGAGGAAAGTCTGCGCCTCGAATATCGGGGAATTCTGCGCCGTCGTCTCCGAGGAAGTCGTCGAGAACGTACTCGTAAGTATTGCCGAGAGATACGATTAATAGGTACGTGCTGTCTTGCCTCTCTGCCGGGAATTCAGAGTCGGATTCTTCCTTTCAGCTTCCGAGGTTCGTCGCTCTCTGCAGGGACGACGTCTGGGGCGTGAGGAAGGCGTGCGCGGACGTCATCATGTCCGTCTCCTTTTACGTCTCCCTCCACCATCGACAGTTCACCCTCGCTCCGATATTCGCCACCCTCCTCAACGACGAGTCCAGGTGGGTCCGGACGTCCGCCTTCCAAATCCTCGGGCCGTTCATCTCGACCTTCGCCCAGCAGTTCACTGGTCTTACGTACAATCAGTATGGGGAACTGATATTCACCAATCAACAGGGTACCGAGCTCAGGTATAACGTGTATGTATGCATGATTTCATTCTGTTAACTTTTCCGAACTCTCGAGACACGCCGCGGTTGCTTCATTCACGCACCAGCAGACAACCGTTCTTGAGGAGAACCTGGGCTTTAGTAGTTTGACTTGGTTCGGGGAGAGCGGCAGTCCGGCGGCCCGGCGACCCGGCGCTCGAGGGCCTCGTGTAAATTCGATTGTTCCTTCTAATCGTAGATGCAAACTCAAATTGAATCGCAGCGACGCTGCATCTGGGACACGTGCTGTGCCCGTGTAATAACGGTAGGTCGATGCTCAGTTGGTGTTTCGTTAAAGTCGATAAAACAGAGCGCACCGTGACGTGTCTATCCCTATCGGAGTTTGTCTCTTTAGCAGGAGAATCTCCGAGACGGAGTCGGACCGCGCGATCGCAAAGAACTCTGCGGTTCAGAGAAACGACAGGTTGGTCGCTGGCGAGAGAAAACCGGAAGTCAGTTTGAACGTGTTTAACGTGATACGTCTTTGGTCTGTTTCTGCTTTTCCAGAATATCCTATTCAGGCTCCTCCGAAGTGTCCTTTAACAAATCCGTGATATACACCGAGATGCTGAATCAACCCTACAACGAGGACGAGGACGAGTCTCAGGATAACGTCCGGCAAACTGTGATAATACAAAGCAAGTCCAATCCTGCCAACGAGTCGACTGCCAGCAATGTAAATAAGGAAAACGAGCCAGTGCAGGACACTGGCAGCTCCGTCAACGAGGAAGCCAGGGCGAACGAGATTAAGCAGGAGAAGTCGAACGAGGCCGAAACCCTCGAGGATGTCGACAAGTTCAACCCATTCCTCTATTATTATATTTCGCCCGATCTGCCACTCGATCAGAAACTCGTCGGATCGGAAGGCTCCGCTAGTAAATCTCAGGATAATTTCGAAGCCACTCGGGAGAAGGTGGCCTCCAGCGCGGATAACGAGTTTCATCGAAGCGCTTCCATTTCCGAAGGGACTAATGAGAACACGGAGACTCTCTTAAATTACGAGAATAAGAATGAGAATCAGTGCGAAGACAAGCAGGAAAACGAGAAGGAAGACGAAAGTGAGAATGATACCGGAAATAGTTCCGTAAGTATACAGAATACGTCAGAACTGTTGAACGACACGGTGAGTGTCAGCAACGCCTCCGCGGACAAGAACGCTGCGTGGCTGAACGAGAAGGGCGAGAGGATTGCTTCGGGAAACTTCACCTATCAGAGCATCGTGCCCCAAGTGCTGATTGACTACTTCGTTTCGATGAGCGAACCCAATCAGATGATCGAGGTTGGCGCCGAGATTCCGCATCACTGTGCCTTCAGTTTCCCGGCAGTGGCTCTGACCCTCGGCAAGAAGAACTGGCCGCTGCTGAAGAACGCTTACCAGGGCCTAGCTAGCGCGATGCAGTGGAAGGTCAGACGCACCTTGGCCTCCAGCATTCATGAGATCGCTATGATTCTCGGGGAGGATCTTGCATCGAGAGATCTCGTGCCGATTTACGATGGCTTCATAAAGGACCTCGACGAGGTCAGAATAGGCGCCCTCAAGCATCTCGCGACTTTCCTTAAGGTTCTTGGTCCGATCGAACGATACGAATACCTGCCGAGGCTCAACGATTTTCTCGTGACAGACAACGAGTGGAACTGGAGATTTCGAGAGGAGCTTGCTACTCAGCTGCTGGAGGCTGTTACTCTTTACAGTCCTCTGCACGTGTCGAGGCACATCGCTCCGCTTTCCGTCCATCTTCTGGTCGACAAGATTGCCGCTGTCAGACACGTGGCACTTGCTTTGGTAAGAATTACGACCTTTTCGTTCTTGTTCCTCGCAGAAGTTTTCGAGTTGCCAGTGTCCGCGGGTCTCTGTAATTCCTTCTTTCTGCAGGTTACTCAAATAATCTCTCATCTGGCTGCCGAGGAAGCCCTGGTGACTGCTCTGATTCGGGAACTCGGGGACATGTTGGCCGCGCATTCCGATAAATGGACGCGCAGGCAAACGTATGCTCTTCTGTGTTCTCATCTGATCAGCAGCGGGGCGATTACCGGCGAGAGATTCGCCAGGGAGATGTTACCCTTCCTGCTGAATCTCTCCTGGGACAGGGTACCGAACGTCAGATTGGCCGTGGCGAGGACTTTGGCCAGGAACGTGGCCACTATGAGTCGTAAGTTAGGATATTTTTTTATCTTTTTTTCTCTCCAAATGTCCAGAAGCTTGGTGGAAGGATTGATAGACTTTTTCGAATTTTCAGCTGAATGGCTGGGCGCCGAGCAGGCCGAAGAAGTCGAGAAGAAGCTGAAGGAAATGCAAAAGGACCTCGACCGCGACGTCAGGGAGCTGGCAAGCTTGGCAAGAGGTCAATAGCACTCGGATAAGGGGACAATCCCCTACCTAGGTTGGGCCCGGCATTTGCCAGGACTTCTCGCGTAACACCCGATGCAACTAGTGGCAACGTGCTTTGGTCTCTGCGAGTTCGACTGCCGACTTCCTGAAAGAGGATAGCGAATTCGCCGAACGGCTGTACGATTGAAAGTTATCGATCGATACGACACGTCAGCCTCCCACTCCGCACTCCTCACTGCTCCCAGCGCGTAGTCCTTCGTCCTGCCTCCCTCGCCTCCCAGCCCCATCCTTCTTCTTCCCTTCAAAACTCTTTCCCGACTGTCCTACTCGTATCTCCTAACTCCGCAGATGCTCACGTTTCCAAAATAGTTTTACGCAGCGACTGAACAGTTTTTATTGGTATTTCTATCCGACATCCTTAAGTGGCAAAGTCGAGAATATCGCGAGCAATCTGGCTCAACCGATGGAGTATACTATTCGTGCTTTACAAAATCTGTTGCCGGGGCACAGTGATCTTTCGCAGGCCGAGTATCGCGCTAATTCTTCCACTAGTCCGGCACGCTCACTGGGGGATATATTTAAAACGAGAAAAGCCAAAAAATGTTGTACCTAGTTGCAGTCACGGGCGAAAGACGGGCGAGGATGGCGATGTTGGCGCAAGCGACTCCGAAAAGAAGGAACGTCCCACGTTACGCGTCGATCGAATATCACAAGGACGAAATATGGATAAGCTCAAGTTTTACGCATATATATGTATACATATGTATATAGGCATATCATTATTTATACATATGTATATATGCATATGTAGACATACATATATATGTATATATACACTACTTACGACGTAGTAGATAATTAATGGGGATTTTTGTTACCGGTAGTCTGGAATGATTTTTGTGAGATAGCTTTTAAGCATCCGAGAAACAGATTTTGGAATTTTCGAGCGGCCGACACCGCGACAAGATCAAAAGACAGCGCTTACAATGCTCTCAAGTGAAGCTTCTCTTTCTGGAGCCGTAGACTGTTAGGATACTACGCGGCCGATCCTCAACGTTTCTCCTAAATGAGACCTTCTTAGGCTGAGATGACTATTATTTAGAATTTAGATAGCAAGGCGCTTCGCCGGACGTCACGTTTTCAAAGGCCCTCACAACACTTTATCCAAAATAGCAATCGCGAGAAAAAAAGACTCTTGTCGTATGCCAGCCACGATATAAAAATATACACGCGCATGCGTACATTCGTACGTACATAAATAATTGCATACTTACATGCAAAGGGTGGATTAATGTCGTACGCCTAAATTTCTTAATTTTTAAGTATATCTTGTATCAATCGTTGGTTTTACTACTATTACTACTACTGCGCCAATTTTTGTAATAATATTAAGTAAGTAACGATAAGGACGTCGTGCGGCGGAAAAAAGTGTTGGGCACTGCTGTATAAATAATGTACAATACGAAATTAGGAAACGAACACGCAAAAATACCGAAGACATAACACGCGCGCGCGCGCGCGCACACACACAAAAGCGAAACTCGTAAATACGCTATCTTACAGAGAGACGCGCACGCAGTCGTCAAAAAAAAAATGAAAGAGAAAAGAATGATGTGGCTGCATTTTGACATTTTGACATTTGGATATTTGGATATTTGGATATTTAGACATCGACCGGCAGAACCATTTATAATACCATATGTCACCAGCAACTATCAATTATACATACTAATATCTACTAGCTACTTACTGCGTTACTACTATCCTCGATAACCGGAAACAATGATTCATACGATAAGTGCTAATGCGTTGCTGAAGCGAAACGATCATTCAGGCGAGATATACACCGTTACTTTACATATTTCCTTTTTTTTTTTTTTCTTCCGTTCCCATTTCTTTTCCTACCACTTATTCCGCGCGCAGAGCTCTGTTGTGAATATTGCAAATGGTATCCTACGAAACTACTCTGTATTATATATATTATGTATTTGGTAATGAATCTAGGAACGAAATAAACGTCAAGCAATTTGTTACACGATTTCGACGAGCGTCTCGTAAATGGCGGCGGCCATCGCGACGCGGCTGCCTTTTGATCCTCGCGTGCCTGTCGCTCACTTTCTTCCCTGCATTCCCGATCTCATTCTTCCATTGTAGCTCGAACCGTCATCCCCGTCCCGGATTAATCCAAAAATCTTTACTACCGGTAGAAGCACGTGAGCGATTGCGCCATTGTGTACTCAGCCTAAATACCAAGATTCATTGGCAGCACTGGGCGCCTTTTCCAGTTTCTTCGATGGCCGGCGCCCTTATTCCGGCCCACTCGATTCTCGTTATTATTTTTTTATTCCCGCGAAACAATTATGACTCGCATTCGTAATTTTCTTTTGTAGATTTTCTTGATTCTCCAAGGTCCGCGAATTCGGCGCGGCGTCGTTTCGCAAAATTTCGCGATGGCGCTGGCGTTTCCAGTCGACGCGTGATAAGCGCAAGGCTCTTAATTACGCTTAAAAAACATGTATTCCGCAGTACATTTCCACTTTGTACCGAATTAAAGTCATAATAAAACAGAGGAGACGAACGAAGGAAATTTTACAGGCGAATCATTTTCGATCCTCTTCCATCTCGCTTCTCTCCTTTCTAGCAAATTAAACAGCGAGAGACTTTGATAAAATCATAAAATGTGTATATGTCTTTCGTAATCTGAACACACATTCGGCAACAAGATGACTTAATTAATGAGGCATGCTCCGGTATTCTTAAAGGTAAAAAAGATTCTAGCAAATGGCGCTCTTATATTACGTGTGTCCTTTTATCCGCGGAACCGAGGACTCGGAGAGGGCCGATCGAGGTCATTGGAATCCTCGCAGGACCTTCGCGAGGTCCTTTCAAAATATTCCAAGGAACTTGCCCGGGGAGCAGGCTGGCAATTGGCAGGCCTTCTCCTCCATTTCGGTTTCAGCAGTGGTGCAGTCGTGAATGCAGTGTCGCCACCTTATTTGCCTGCCTTTGCCGCACGTGACACTGCAGCTGCTCCAGTCGGTCCATCTGTCCCACTTTCTATGGGACGTTCTCTCCCTTCGAGCTCTTCTCAACCCGCGACGACGCGCAGCCGCCATCGCCGTCATCGCCGTCATCGTGGTAGATCCTTTGAGGGACGCTCGATCCTTGTGGATCCTCCCAAGAGAGTCGTGACGTACTTCCCGTTCCTGCGTCTCCTGGAATCCAACTTTCCCTCTGGTCTTCGCTTCGCCGCTGCTGCTGCTGCTGCTGCTGCTGGAATGCTCCAGGACTTTGGGCTCCTCCTTGGGTTCCTTCTTGAGACTCGATCCACTTCTCTTCTCGGGTTCTACCTTATTCCTACTTCCTGCACCCTCGTCGTCGTTGCTCACGTATTTCTGTAACTCGCCCACCTTGGCCACCAACTTCTCGGCCAGCTCCTTAATTTGCTCGACCGACTTGGCAGCCCTTCCGGACCGCGACCGGCCTCTTCGTTTGGCAAAGGACGCTTCGTGTCTTGGTCCACCAGCATCAGGCTCGTGAATGTCCTCGTAGTACTGCAATTCCTGGGCGTCGTTCGAGCGACGCTTCGGCGTCTCTTCGGCGTCGTCTTCGTGCCTCTTAACGCGACGTCGCTCGTCTTCCGACTGACCGAGATTTGATTCTGAACTTTGAAGATCCCCGCCGTGCCCCCCTTCCCCGAAGGATTCTTCTTCCCTTCGACCGTCCTGAGGCGAAACGATCGATCGATCCTTCCTCAAGATCACCGCTGTCTTATCGTCCATGCTATCAGCTCGTCTCTTACGTAAATACGGCTTCGAATTGTCCTTTACGGCCTCCATTTCGAAAGCAGAGTCGCTAGAATTTCCTTTTTCGATTTTTGGTTCAACCTGCAGATGATCATTCGTCGCTCCCAAGAGGAAATTTGGAACGACACTCGAGTCCAGCATCGACCGATCTGGAACGTTCCGTAAAAATCTTTTTTCCTTTCTCTTGAAATTTCTTCTGTCATTTTGCTTGCTCTTCGTTGCTTTCTTTTTGCACCTTGACGCGAGACTAGGCGGCGCCGTTCGTCGCTTCTTTCCACGTTTACCAGTCGCCCAATTTCCTTGAAGCTGCAACGGAGAAGCACGAGCCAGCGAATTTCTCCCCAACGTATTGTAGTCGACTTTCGAAAGCATCGATTCGATCACCTTATCGTCCTCCGGATAAGAGTCGTCCAGTAGCTCGCGAGAGCTCGAACGATTCCTTAAGAAATTATTACTCCCAAGCGTCCGCCTTCTCTTCCGGATAAATTCTACCATCCGCATTCGACTTTTCAAATGATTCATTACGTCCGGAAATACGTCGTTCAATGCATTGCGTAATTTAACGGGATTTTCAATATTTTTCGAATTAGAATCGCCTCGTTCGCTTTTAATCGATTCGCTAGCCGGAAGGACCGATAGCCTGGATTCCGGGGCGGGACCACTACTTCCGGGCTGGACGGAAGAATCGATGGAGTTCGGGTCAGTCGAGTGGGCGAAATTGTCAATAGATTTTCGATCTTCGTTAGGAAGATGATTGTACGGCGATTCCGAGCTGGTTGAAAATGAAAATGATAGATCGTGCGGGTCACTCGAATTCGAATGCAAATCTTCCTGAAGAGGATAATTCGCTTTCGATAAGAGTTTATCTCGTTTCACTCGAAGATGAGTAAATTCTTGTGAATTCTGTTCCGCGATACTATCGGCATCACGCAGGACTTCCGGAGCAATAAAGTCCAATAGAGTCCTTTCTTGGCTACTGACGTTTCCTCCGTTAGCCAAGTCCGGATGATCCTGCAAGATTGATCTCTCCGTGGAGCCACTGCCTACCAGGAGTTCCAGTCCAGAGTGAACGATGCCGAAGAGTTCGTTCAGTTCTCTTTCGTAAGTTGAAACACTGGAGGAAGCGGAAGTCCTATCTGTACTCCGTGCCAGGGTCACTTTCGGCCAAGATGAGGTGGAAGGAGGACCAGTGGTGGAATTATCGCGCGGCAATGGATTTCCTCTTTGTAGACTGTTTATAAATTCCGTGACGTTCTCAGTGGACGAACTTCCGGACGAGCTCATTAAAATTATCGGTAGCGCAAAAGTTTCTCTCATCTGGCTAAAGTTTCCCGCAACTTTGGTTGACTTCGATTTACCAACTACTGACTTTACATTGCTCAGACTTGCGGAGCCGGTCGACCTGGAAGGACTTCCTCCCAGACAGGATCGCTTTTTCCTGCAAATTTCTTTTTCAGCCTGACTCACATTGATAGCCCTAACCTCCATTTTGAGTCGCGTCGGCAACGATGCGGTAGATCCTGTCTCTGGATCCTGCCGCCGAGAAAGCCGAGGAGGCGGATGATCGCTTTGGATGCTGGGACGCTTCCGCGGCTCCAGGCAGTCGACGCAGCCAAGACGGAGTGTCAGGAGGACGGTCCAGGCGCAGATGCGAAAGGACAATCTCACCATAACACAGAATGAAGTATCAAGCGGCTCTTGCGGATGGTCCAGGAGCCAAAGTGGAAATCTCATGGATCGGTGTGGAGGTTGCGAAGATCGCGCGTCCAGAAACGTCGCGCATCCGTAATTCGACCAGACGTCACAACTACTACGCTCGGTCGCTCATCCTTACTCTCTCGTTGCAATTCGGTTATTCATTTTTTACTCTCATCTTTCCGTCGTCCTTTTTTTTTTTTCTTTCTTTGGCATCCAATGCTCGACGTGCAAACGAACTGATTTGCTGGATGGGAGAGACGCAGGTTCTCGGACTAAAAGCGATTGGCGGAATAAATTCTTGTGATCGACAAGTAATTCTAAAATAAAAAAGAGATACGAAGAAAGAAATGCAACCGATTTTCATTCGGCTGGCAATTTTAGTTGAGTCTTTGTTTTTCGTTTCGAATATTCGACGCATCGCTTTTCGTATATCAAACAAACTGATTTATTGATCTCTCAGGTTTTCTTAATGTTGCATGTTTCAAATAAATATCGTTGTTGATTTTCTCTTCGAAAAGACAAAAGAAAGTGATGAACTAGGAGGGAGGATGAGTCACGCATGGCGCGGGGAAGGGGAAGGGTGTGTGGGAGGGGGGCAGGGCACTCTTAGATCGCAGATTCGGCCTCCTCGTGTACGGTTTCGCTCGGTTCGGCGGTTTCGCTTTTTGATCTGAAAGAAATCAGTTGATGAAGTACTCGGATTTCAGGGGATCATGGTAATTAAGTGGATGAGATGTGCTTCAAGGGATAATTGCATTTCTAATAAGTGATGCCATACGAACGTGCCCTCAAGCAAATGGACTCCCCTCCTTCTCCATTGCTGTTCCTAACGATATTCCGTCAGCGATCACGATCATTTTTTACGAAAATATATTTTTATTACATAACAGAAGAAACATCGTGACGGCATTCAGAATCGAATACTGTAGTTAATAAGTCCTATATGGTAATAGAGTCAATATCAACAGATACCAATGAATGGGCACTGAGGTAGGTGGGTGGTAGGTGGATGGTAGCTGGGTGGTAGCCGGTTGGTAGCTGGTAGTTGGGCATTTTGAGGCGGACGGTAGGTAGAGGGGTAAGTGGTAGAGAAATACGTTGAGCGAAATGTATGCGTGTGATACAAAGTGAATTCTTTCCTCTTTTCTTTCATGTTCTCGGTATACAGTGAATACTATATGTTCGACAGTTAGTCCTACAGTGATATTCCATAAATACACTTACTAGTCGAGATGCGAGATAGGCTCCTGGGAGAATACTTCGTAATTTTACCTATTATTTGTCTCTGGGACACTAAATACTTCTCTAAACTCTTTCTTTTTTTTTTTCTTTTTCTTTCGCTTATCGTATGGATCTTATTGTAACATTGTAAAACATAAACCGGCTGCCAAGCGTCGTCAGGAACGTCGGGAGGAAAAGTGAAGTCGGCTCCTTCCGGTTTAACTGGGAGAAACGCGGCGCTGTACGCGCGGGGGGATGGGGGGGGGGCTACTTCCTATCGAGCTTCTGGGCCCTACCCCAACCCCATTCTGTCTTTCACCACCGATCATCCCGGCTCTCTGGTTCCTCCCGAGAATTACCATTACGTTGCGACGAAGGAGAAGAGGAGGAAATATCGAGAGGCGACGCGCGATCCGCGCCGCACCGAAATCGGCGTCGAAACGCGAGGACCTCGCGCACTCGGCAACACGGCAATCGTAAAGCATATTTATTTAGCAATTATTCATTTAATATTGTCGCTCATATTAAATCGGTTTATATCATCTTGTGGCGAATCGGGCTTAAAGGGACTCCTGAGCTAGAAGTTAGCTTAACGTCGCGGCTGCTTATTTCGAAATATTGAAGATGTCCAAGCGCTTCCGATTATACGCTATTCTACGTTTTGCGGTTCGTTTTTCGTTTTTCTCTCTTTGTACGAGTAGGCACTTTGCTATGTTTCTGTGTTTTCGGTATTTACACGACGTAGAATCTGAAGTAATTGCATAGATGCGAATGATCCTTTTCACTTAACCGTTTCTTGGATTCTAATTTTCGAGCCCTTTTTTTCATTTATCATAACACTTACGAACGTTCACTCTCTCACATTTGCTCTCTTGCTCTCACATACTTTCCTCATTCTCACGTTCCCTTTTTCCCCCTCCAGCCCCTTCTACTTTGCGGATTTGGAACTTTAATTAGCACCGTGTCGTCGTGAATTAGCGAATTCCAAGAAGCTTCTCTCTCTCTCTCTCTCTCGTCCGCATTTCGTAAGATCAACACACTCCACGCTCTCTCTCTCTCTCTCTATCTACTTGGCAAGTGCGAGTCCCATGAATTACTATGATAACGTAAAAGACAGCTTAAGGATACGCGCGTTTATCGAATTTTGGTTCTTCCGAATTTCTTTGAAATCGTTAACCATACTCAGTCTTTCGAAGGCTCAGCCTAATGGCCGTCGAACGATGAAGAGAAACGTGGAGGCGCCAAAGAGTATCGTAATTGTACACGATACATACTTTTCGTCGCATCTATCGAAGATTCGCGCTCCTCGCACGTGTCTCGCCGTCTCAAGGAGATCAACACGCGCGTCTAGAAACTCCGGGTGGATCGTCTTGAGAATACGAAGGGGGAATCGTGTCTTCCCGCAATAGGAGGCCTATGGAGCCTTCGAGCTAACTAAAAGAGATAGAGCGTACCAAACTGTTCGAAGTCAAAATCGAAAACAACGAATTCAGGAAAATTCACACGTCAAGCCCCACAGTCATCCTCTTCTCTCACTCGTGTTCGATTACGCGTTCGATTCCCCTTAATTTACATTCCTCGACTGGCCTTCGACAGAAATAGTTTTCCCGATCATCATCCGATGCTAATTAATACGAAATAACGAGGAAAAGTGCACCAGAGGAAACGCCCACTTCGACAGCCAACTGAGCAGTCTTTTTTTAGGTTCGTCAAACCTCGCGATTACGAGGATCGACGGTGGAACATAATTCCGGCACTAGGAATGTTTCGTAAACATTCAATCGTTCAACAACTTATATCATTGTAAGTAAAACTTTCAGTTATAATCGCCGTAGCCTCGTGGGCAAATCCACACGACGGCCGTCGATGGAAATTATCCTCGAGACTCCACGGACGTCGCCTGAAACACGCGGCGGCGGCGGCGGCGGCTCAACAAATAAACGGAGCGAGCAACAAGTATTTTGAACGACTCGTAATACATCTAATATTTCTTTTCTTTTTCTTTTATTTTTTCTTTCGCTTTCTCTTTATCTAGATCCCAGGAGCACGCGGTACGCGTTTAGGGACACCGTGGAAGCCCTCGATGACCGATACTTTCTGCAGCAGAAGTTCTTTTATTTCGGCTCCCGCTTTTTTGGGGGCACGACCGCACGACTGATGCGGCTGACTTGCTGGTTTTTTATTTTTTTTTTTTTTTTTTTTTTTTTTTTTTTTTTTATATTTCCCGATGCTCAGAGGAACTTGATTAGCAGATTCTGCTGAATTGTGAATGAGCTCTGATAAAAGAACGCACGACCGTCGCGAGAATCGTGACGCTCGAGAACAAGACTTCACGTGACATTGTCGTAAAAACTGTATTTACCGTTTTATTGCAAGATCGATTGTCAAACGTCATCTGATGATTTCGGCAAGATAGTACAGAATGGCAAGGACCACGGTGTTCGACCAAGTTTTTTTCTTCAACGAAGGAACGTCCCTACCTTCTCAACAATTCTTTTAGGTAAACGTGCTTCCTTAAAGTTTTTCTTAAATCTTCGCACTGAATCGTACCTACATTATCTTTTTTGAGGAACAAGAAATTTTGTAAAAAATCAGTCCTTATGCAATAACTACTAGTCGAAAATGTTCACGTAGATACTATGCGATAAATGACGCATCTAGGTCTAATCCAAATATGCTAATCATTAATAAGATAATTTTACCATCTAAGTCAATGCTTTTGGTACCCTGAATATTATTAGTAGTCGTTCGAATTTAGTTAGCGCTTTGTCCGCATGTGGTCGTACGAACGACTGTTTTTTCCACGCCCATTTCTTCCTTTCATTCTGTCCTGTCAATTCTATTTGAATTACCGAGCAAATGGTCGAGGAGTCTTCGAAAGATCTACATAAATACTTGATGATGTATTGATTGTGCCCGAAAAACAAATACAGAGAGACAGGGAGAGACAGGGAGAGAGAGAGAGAAAGAAAGAAAGAAAGAAAGAAAGAGAGAAAGAGAGAGAGAGAGAGGGGAGAGAGAGAGAGAGAGAGAGAGAGAGAGAGAGAGAGAGAGAGAGAAAGAGAAGGAATGGAGAAACGTCCGCGTCATGTTGTTCATTCGACAAACCATTGGGAAATATGTTTGGCCCACACGCGACTCCTCTCGCTGCAGATCGTGAACACTGAAGAACGTGAACACGGTGAAAATCATTTTCCACGGTTATCCCGTGTATCAATTAAGACAGTGACCATTCGCTAAAGTTGAAAAACCTGGTGAACTTGATGACGATAATGATGCCTGATGTGCTTTCGCAGGAACGTCCGCAGAGCATACGCGAAGCTGAAGCTTTCTCCTTCCGCGTAACAGTGTGGCACGGCCATTGTGAGAAGTATGCATGACGCGCACAAACTTCGAAGAAAACTAATCAGATAGTAAAAGGAATTCATGCATTCCAATATTCAAGATACTCGACGGATGAATCACAATATAAAAATACAATTGCGAAGGTCTCTTTCTCTCCCTTCTTTTTTCTCACGGAATCTGTCAGTATCTGTGCTTGCATCTATAAACGTATTGTATGTGTGTGTACGTGGTTACGGACGCGTAGCATATCCCTCCATAACGTTTCGTCACAACCAGTTACTTCCTGACGAATCTCGAGCAAGAAGTAATCGTTTTTGAAAAGAACGATGGAATTTCTTGCTCACAGCCCGCAGGCCACAAGTCATTTCCCATATCCGAACGAACGTTAAGCTCGAGCGGGGCGTAGCGTCCTTAAATGTAATCTTTCTATCTGTCCCTAGCCGCGCATGTATAAGTAACTGCAGAGAGCTATTACACCCCCACCAACGATCGCGGCACCTATGCCTATTGAAAGGGGCTTAAATAATGACCTCTTGAGCTTCTGCCACTCTTCTGTCTGCTTCTGTCGCCGCTTCATCTCGCGCACCTGCGCGGCCAGTCGTTCCTTTCTCTCCAGGTTACGCTGACGAAGTTCGTTCTTTCTAAAATGACGACCAATTACCAACGTGAAAATCTGTACAATTGTTAGCAAAGAAATTTCCGATTTGGAAACAGATGGCGAGTGCTAATGATACTCACGTGTCTGGACTGGACGGAGGACTGATGGTCTTGAAGGAATTCTCACCGTCACTAGTTGCTTCACCAGGAAGGGCCGCGGCATCGGAATTTTGTTCCTGAAGACTGTTTTGAATGCTTGTGGAATTCTCCGGGGGACTTGTAGACGGTTCTGTATACGTCGGTGGCTCCCTGGGTAACGGCTTATCCGGAGGTCCACTAATATCTTCGACTGTTCATAATAAAGTGATATAATCGATACGTCTAATGGGGGATTCCGTTTGTCTTAATAGAAATTGTATTATTTTTTACGAAAGCTGTACCATTTTCCGTGGTTGGATTAGGGCTCAAATCCGCCATCATACTACGCGTAAGAGATTCCCCTCTTGGAGGTGGAAGAGGAGGCGGTTCATCATCCTCGTCCACGGAAGAATTACTGATGTTGTAGACCGTGTCGTAGTGATTATTTACCTCATTATTATCAATATTCTGTAAAAGATCCAAAACTTAGAAGTTATCCTATGTCAGTCAGCAACACAGCAGAACAATGCTATTAGCGGTGCTTTCGGTAATTACTAAATGACGATGTCGATTCTGGCTTGACCTCATATAATAGAAACGATAACAAAAAAGAATGCAAACGATGCCACCAGATTATTTGTTGAACGACGAAATCCCATTGGTAACCGAGAGATCGAGCGTTCCATACACGTTTTACTCACTTCGCTTGTCAGTTTATATGAAATGCAGCTATCACGTATAATGGCTAATAACACTGTCCTACTGTGCATTGGTATTAGTTACCACGTTGTTGGATGGCAATTGTTTTGCCCCCTCGATGATAGCAGCATAGGAGAATCTCAGCTGATCAGGTGTCTGGATGAGGCCCATCCTGAACCGCCTCATCTCCATTAAAATTTCTTGCACGTCCACGGAGTTCAGGCCGTTCTCCTCGATCTGAATCGACGACGTTACGTATACAAAAGAGATTTAGTAAGTGAATATAACTACAACTGGATCAACACACTTACCAGAACCAGGCACGTGTCTACTAAGCAGAAGGTTCCTGATCTCCCGATTCCGGCTGAGCAATGAACCACTGGGGGTCCGACATTTTGATCTAACGCACCAGACTGTCTGACGTCCACCAAAAATTGTAAAAATGCTACTGGACTTTGCGGCACACCGAAGTCCGGCCACGTTGTGTAATGGAAGTGTAGAATCTCTCTGCTTTCCTTGGTCTCAACGTCTGTCAGTCTAAGTCAGAGGAAGATTTAGTAAGACTAACAAAAAAAAAATCAGAAAATTTCAATTGAAGTGAGCCCTGAGCACTGGGGAGTTCTCATTAATAGAGACGTCGTTCGTGCAATTCGCTCGAAGAGGTGCCAACGTGACTAGAAGAAATATTGGAGCTATCCACACCGAAATTAACGGCTAGAAGTATCAGACAGTTTGTAATTATGATTGATATCGCTAACAAGTTTAAATTGATAAATTGAATATCACTATTCAAGGGTCACATGTCATATTTTCTGATGATCAGAGTCGAGCCCACCAGTATAATCTTTAGATTTTCCTTGGCTAACTGGAAACTCGCACTTGATGAGGAAGGATCGTTAATAATCGACCGATAAAAGAAAACCAACGAGTGTCTTGTCTCATTTTCGGATAAAATTAATATTAACCAATAGTAAAGGATTCCTTAAACATTTTTTCTGTCGAATATTTTCTTACGAAAATCTTATGCATTTTCTACAATTTCAATTGTGCATGAAACGTTTTTCCTAATTATGTCAGAATCACAAAGAACAGTGCGAAAACCGCGTCCATGTCTTCTTACCTCAATATTCTAGTTGTGTAATCCGAAAACTCGGTCTTGCTGACGTACTCTACTTTAAGTCCAACGTCTGGGAACATCATAGTGTGATCGGAAGAACCTTCCAGAGGCCAGTACTGATGACACTTTACTTGATCCTTTTCGATAACTTTGTTTAACATCAACACTGCCTTACTGTTTTGTTCCCACACCATCAGCCAAAAGTGGCCAGTGGTGTTAGGCAGTGGTCCTTGTGTTAGGATGTACTGTCTATGCGCATGATCCATCTGTGATACAAAAAAACGCTTGATCATGCTATTCTTCACTTCCAGTTTTAGTTTCAGATTAAAAATCTCTGTGGTCACTCGTATGTTTGCTTACCCGAACAAGATTCGCATTGATATAGTCACAAGGGCCCTTTCGTAGAATTATTCTAGTATGATCATACGGTGCTACATCTCTGTATCGATTTAAACTTCTGTTCTGTGGCTTTTTCGATTCATTGCATTCGTACTCATAGTTATTACATTCGTTACGTATGTGCTGTAAAGAGAAAATATTACACATGACACACTGTCACATGACAATCTATCAAGAACTCAACCTTTGCATGAGCTTTTATTCAAACCATTGGAAGTAGTTGTTTGTTTAACCTTTTCCAATCAATTAGCTATAATAGTTTGCAGTCAGCATTCTAAAGAACAGCATATCATTGTAAGTAACAAAGATAACTATAACATTGGCATACTACACAGGATATGAGATAAAAACAGTTTTAATGGATAATTAACTGCAGTAACATTCATGTAAAGACAACTACTAAGTCAAAAATGGATATTAACTTGCATGGCTGAATTCAGACAGATTACATAAAGTAGCTAGATAAAGAAATCATTCAGTATACCATCTCAAGTATGAATTTTTGGATATGCACCTGATTTTAGCATTGTATAGTACACTGTATGTGCATATACAGATAGCATTCACAACAATAAAAGCTACGACTAAAGCTAGAGTCTTCAATATAACATCTGTCAAAAATAAAAACAACAATATAAGAAATGTCTTGCTTCCTGAATGAAATTTGTGCCAATGAATCGTCTGATTGCACGTTGCTCACACCCCCATAGCCAGACGAAGCAAATTATATGACAACTAAATATAGTATACGTTTAAACAAGCAGAGATCCTGACCTTCATTTCAAGATCAATGTAAAAATCTTATAAACCGTGACTTTTTACTTTTACAAAATTCCATAAGTGAACATCTACTTTACTTGCATCTTCATCATCGAATAACACCATTATTCCTACTACACTAAAATATGAAGATCCATAAAATTAAATACAAAATAAGGATGCGTGATAAAAATAATCAGCACTAAACAAATACTGATGTAGAAAATTTCTATTGCTGCCACCTTGGCAGGAAACGGATTATGGTTCAAAATTGCGATAATCTCTACGTAAACTAATGACGGTCAAAATAGACACATGTCAGTTATTGACAGAAGAGAAAAGAGCTTGAGTAAAGTCGTGGAAAAACGTTATGATCGTAAAAAGAGATGAGATTTTTCTTGTGCGTCGAGAAGAGCGTCAATCTGCTAGTGAGCTTGAAAATGTCTGTACATGCGGGGAAGAGCAATGATGGTGATTCCGATGGTTCGAAGAAGCATAGCGAACCACAAAGTGCTAGCAGGAATACCAAGAAACGCGTTCTCTTGAAGAGTACCTGATAAAGGATCGCCCAAGCCCCCTTGGAGTTGATCTCCAGATACTGCGTCTCCACGTTGCTCACTGCTGGCTCTTGCGTCTCGCTGGTCATCCTGCTGTCTTTGACTTTTCTTCAAAGCACGCTTAAAAAACAGAGTACGCAGACACACACACCGGTCCTCCTCCGCAACCACGAAAGTCAAACCCACTGGGCCATGCGTGAGGCAATTTTTGCGAAAAGCAGCCCCCGCCGGACAAAACGCGCTCTGACTGCTGGGACTCTCACTCTTGCGCTCTCTCACTCCAGGTTCTTCCAGACTCAGGCTACAGTTGCTCAGTGCTGCTCAGTACTGCTGAGACGGAATCAGACGGAATCACGAACTGTTCACGGAATTGCACGGAACGACCGCACCGAGTGACCCCTGGTGATTTCTGCCAACACGAACGCTCAGCCTCAGGTGCTGACATCTCGGTTCTACACTGCACTCCCCCACTTTAGCGTTCTCTCTTTCTCTCGTTTCCCACAATTTTTTTTTCACCCGCTCTTTCACTCTACGACTTTAAAAAAAGTTGCCTGCTGGAAGGAGAGCATTCGGCGTCGCCTAAAATTATGGCGCGAGCGTACGCGCATCCGGTTTCTATTAATTTTTTAGGAACTCATTATTGTGCCAACTTTAGGCTCAGGAGTCGATTTTAGAATTATGAAAAATAAAAAGGAGTATGAAAACCTGAGTGTCAAATATATTATTTATTTTTATGGATTACAGGTACCACGATTTACATATTTGAGTAGCACGTTTTTGAAGTCTACCGAAACATTTGAAATAAACTGAAACGTCAATATGAAGCATCTTTCAAACATTACGGAGTTGAAGTAGACGGCTCATCCTCGTTGATCCTTTTTGGCACGTTTTACTTCGGACTTGCCCGTTCTTTCACCACCCTCGACATCATCGGTGGATCGTCTTTTGCTCGCTGTTTGCGAACTAGAGTTCAACCAAGAAGCCATAAGACCGGCGGCACCGCTCTCCTTTTTTTCTCTGCGCGTAATGGAATTACTGAATCAATAGTCTGTCAGGGTAGATCATGGGATTATATGCACCCCCCCCCCCCCCCCCCCC